AACAAAATTCAGAACATCAGACATCATGCATCGTCTGCTTAAAGATTTGATGAGACAACTCAGGTCGATGAGTTTTGAGCATTAAAATTGCTTTGATAGCCTTCGTTTCTTAGTGACAACAATATGAATGTTTCACTAACCGCTAGATAAAATAAATTAACATTGGCCAGTGGTCGAACCAGTCCAGTTTTGCTAAACATACTAGGCCATTGGTACATATAATTTGAAGAAATGTAAATAACAGAGTTGACCTTCACCTCTTCCAGTGTCCAGACAGTATATATGTGAGTCCTATTTCACTTCACCTGATCATGACCTAAATATCCATTTTTATTACCACATAAAATGTTTAATCAATATCAGACAGCATGCTTCATGGAAAATTGGTCTGAATATTGAAGCCCATCTCAAATTGTTGATGTGTCTATATTTAACAGAGTTAACTGATGTGAAAAGTTCAAGACAGTTACTTAGGCATAAAATATTGCTTGTTTGTCCGTCATGCAAGTTGAATAAATATTATTAATCCCTACTCAAATAATTCATAGCTAATATATATAAAAAAAAAAATACATCTCTATCAATTCCATTTTGATTAGAAATAATTGAACCTGATTTCATCATACTAAGTACATATATTTTTGACATAGTTCTCCAGATCTAGTATTAACTAACTTTTTCTATTTATTTTACCACATGAGACCTGCTTGACCTCGGCCATTACACGGCCATAACACAGGAAACAGCTTAAGATCTTCCTTACATACGTCTGCACTGTCCTCACACCAATACATCACGGTCAAATGCTGTAACACCGTACATGTACCTCTGTATATATATGTAAACTTTATAACATTGACATTGAGTATATTATGGGCACCCTATACCTCACGTACATGCACACACGGACAGTTATCGCTCCAACCTTGGAGTCTTCGTCCGTTTTTGGAAGAAAATACCAAGCAACATCCGTGACCTAAGAGTTCCAAAAGGTGACTACCAGATATCATTGAAGTTCTCTACTTTAAGAATGTTGGTAACTTATCAATATAACAGTGTCAGACGCCCCAAGCTGTTACGCCCCAACTATTTTGTCCCAAAAAACTACAACGCCCAAAACATTTCTTCCATGAAGGTCACTTATTTGACAAATTTTAAAGTGAAATATCTAACTTTTATGTAATATTTTTAAAGATAGAAATTCAAAACATAAGATCTGTTGCAATTTGTTTGATGTTTGAGACATAATTTTGTGCTGTAAATCAATAACTTACTATATCTTTAGTATCTTTGTTAGGCATGTATTTGTATATAAGAGAGTGTGTATTTATATTTGTTTATGCATGCATATAGATCTACTTCTTTTTTCTGCATTAGTTAATTTTTCATTAACAAATTTAAAATAAATAACAACTAACAAGTGGCCCAGAGGGCCTGTATCACTCACCTCAATATTTGAGCAACCATGGAAAATACTCTTAATAAAAGTACCTGTGCAACTATTTCCATATATTGAGTCTACATGGCTTAAAAATGTTCCATACTAAATGAAACTTAATACTACTCTATCCCAGCACGTTACTGGACAATTATCATCACCAATTGACCTCCTGGTATTGCGGAAGAAGTTGTTTAAAAGGTCGAGGTAATTAGTTTGGGAAACTTTATAACACTCTGTCCCAGGTACCTACTAGCAAAGTATCATTAGTCTGGGCCTCCTGGTTAATCAGAAAAAATTTTTTTAAAGGTTTTTACCCATTTGACCAATGTGACCTCGAAAGTAGGTCATGATCATTTATTTGAGGAAACTTTATAACACTCTGTACCAGGTACCTACTGGCCAAGTATCAGTACTCTGGACCTCCTGGTTATTCAGAAGAACTTTTTTAATGGTTTTTAAACACTTTTTACTCATGTGACCTTGAAAGTGGGTCAAGGTCACTTATTTGAGGAAACTTTATAGCACTCTGCATGTTCCAGGTACCTACTTGCCAAGTATCAGTACTCTGGGCATCTTGGTTATTCTGAAGAAGATGTTTAAAAGATTTTAAACTCATTTGACACTTGCGATCTTTAAAGAAGGTCAAGGTCTTCTTGTTGAGGAAGGTTTATAGCTCTTCATGGCAGGTATCTACTGGCCAGGTATAATTACTTTCGGCCTCATTGTTATTCAGAAGAAGTTGTTGAAAGATTGTTACATATTTGACCCCTGTGACCTTGAAAATATGTCAAGGTCATGTATTTGAGGAAATTTCATAGCAATATGTCCAAGGTACTTACTGGCCAAATATCATTGCTTTAGGACTCTTTGTTATTCAGAAGAAGTTGCATGTTTACAGGTTTTTACAATTTTGAACCCTGTGACCTTGGAAGTAAGGTCAAGGTAATTTATTTGAGGAAAGTTTATAGCACTCTGTCCCAGGTAGTTACTGGCCAAATATCATTATCACCTCGCACAAAAATTTGAGGGCATAAAGGATTCTTCTAGTAAGTACATATGTATGTACGAATGTACTTGAGCTACGTTGAGGGCCTCATAACACTAAAGGATGAAAATCCAGCCAGCGAAAACATGGAAATCTCTTAAGAGATTCACGACATTCATCAAGCATATGAAGAAAGACACAGCTGGACCCCAAACATTAAAAAGGACTGAGGATTAGACATCAGCGTCCACCCAGGTAAGGCTAACCTCCACAATAAACAGTTTAACTCCGTCTTTTTAGCCCAGTCACCAATGTGTTCATAAGACATGTGTGACCAGAGGATCCTCAAAGAAAAGGAGGGTGAGAATGACATGGCAGATATCAACATTACAGTCAATGGAGTGTTTAACCTACTGAAGAGACTTATTAAATTAATCCATTAAAGCGGGCGGACCAGACAACTTGATGCCACGAGTCCTCCAGGAACTTGCATTTGAACTAAACCCTATTGTCAACACTCTCTTTAATCAGTCCTTGCAGCAGCAACACTTACCGTAATTTGTAGCCAACTAATGAAACACATGAAAAACAAGGAAATTCTCCACTGATGCCACTTCAGCTCAGATTCAGGGAGAAGAGGAGTTGCGAGTCACAGCTTATTGAGTACACATCGGAAATTGTCAACAACATGGAAAAAGGAATTCAGACCGATGCAATTGTGATGAATTTCTGGAGTGGCTGACGATAAACTCCTATTGATTTAACTGATAAAATATGGTGTGAAGGTAAACTAAGGATTGATACGATTTTTTCTCAGTGGCAGACAACAGAAAGTCATCCTTAATGGAAAAGCCTCTGAAGAAACCCCGGTTCTATCTGGCGTGCCGCAGGGCTCAATCCACGGACCTGCCTTGTTCCTAGTGAACATCAACTATCTACCAGAGTATGTTAAGCATAGTACCATCAGGCTCTTTGCAGACGATACACTGATGTATCTTACCATTATAAAAGCCCAATGAAGACACTGACAAGCTCCAATCCAACCTTGACAAACTAGCAACTTGGGCAGGTGAATGGCAAATGGAGTTTCATCCATAAAAGTGCGAAGTCTGTGATGATGACCATATCCAGAAAAATTAACACCATCCACCATACTTATTTCTTAATCGTGGAAAATTTGAAATTAAGCTGACATTCTCACTCTGTCGGATATGCATGCTGATATCTCAAAATGTTATGGGTAAGAATAGTATTTTTGCTTCTCAAGTGATGAACCCCGGGTCAAATTGCTTATATTATAATGTGATATGAAGGGCAGAAACTCAATTGGCACATCACTCGGCTTTTCTTTAATTTTCACAAACTGACTGATGATCTCTTTCATCAACATTATATTGCAAACTGATAACTCTTCAAAACAATTAATATATTTTTTTTTAAATTACATGAACATTAAAACAAATATTTATGCAAAAGAAATATGCCAATTTGGTCTTACGTGTTCCTAATCATTCATATTTTAGTAAAATCACCAGCAATGATAAATTACCATCACATTCACAAGACCAGATATCGTTCAATATACTCGTTCATAGCGGTTGAATGAGGCGATAAAGAATGTTGGGACCATATGACCGCCATACTTGGGCAAACTGAAGTGAAAATTGGGGCGATGTGAAATAAAGTTGGGGTGAAATGGTCTGGGGCGAAACGTCTGTAATTCTAAAATAAAACATATAACAATTACAATTTTATACAAGATATAAAATATCTATATGGGTTCACAAACAGAGAAGGGAAGAACCAGCGCCCTGGTTGACATGGGTAACATTAGTGGATTGTAGTAAAAATCTACAATGGGTACCTTAACCTAATGTATTCAGAAGCACTTAATCCAGGAAATAAGGTAAACAGAAAAAATAATTACAATAAGGATTAGATTGAGTAATAACATCTAAGTTCCATAGTTTATTCATGGTTTACAATGTACATTTGGCTAGCTCAAGAGTTGAAAACATTCTTAAAATTGAGATATTTTGTGATTCTTGGGAGAAAAATACCTACATTTCTCCACAAGTTGTTTAGACCTATCTAATTTCTTTTTTTTAAGCACGTATGAGTTATTTCCCTTGATTGAGTACACTTTCAGTTTCATTTTTAAGTCTTAAATAATAATTGGTCATAAGTCGTACCTGGCAAGTTGTATTACGTCTGTGTGGAACTTTTCAAAAGAAAAAAGGGAATTCCTTCTGTGTTGCAGTTTTGTTAATGTAGGCCTACTGGCTTTGGGGACCTGTGCATCTTTTAAATATTTTGTTCACGTTGAAAACATCCTCCCATTGGCGCCCCAAAAACTTCTGGACAGAGTCAGAAAAGGTTCCGGATGTCGCAAAACATAATTAAAAAGTGTTTATTCAAAATATTCAACACTTTACAATGCAATAATATATCAAAACTATGGTATTGCCAAAAACTAAAGTATTTTATGAGCATCAAACATAGGTAATAAATACGAATTCAATAAATACATTCAATAAATACACTACCCACCGATGGTTCACTTCCGGCGGAAGTGCACATGTTGTTATTTTCACCGGCGTGAGTCTTTTGTTTCGTCGGTAATAAATCGTGATTTATACAATACAAACGGAATGAGTGGTGGAGTTTATGGAGGAGGTAATGTATTTCATCTTTTTCTTGTGATACAACACACCTTTTCATGGATATCGGTCTCATGTTTAACTTTGCTGTCAGTGAATCTGAGAGGAGACCGGCGTCAATGTTGCCGCTTCATTTCAATTTGCTGTACTGCAGTAGTCTAACGTTACGGAACCTACATAATGCAACAATTTTCTCGTGTATCGAGCAGCATTAGTATTTTGCAAAAAAATGAACACTATTCGTTAGCGTTGGGAGACCGCCTTCTGAGCGTTAAGGTGAAATCTGCCGAGCAAGATCTGTACCTTTTTAATAGCAGACAATGAAATTACTGTGATATCGCTATGTACTAAGAAAATTTTAAAAGAAAGAAATTTACTGGAAAACACCAAACATTTTGGCTAGCCAGACGAATCGGACCACATCATAGTCACATGATTTTGTGAAACAGATAATCAAGAGTTGTGGCACATACCAATAACGTAAAATAATACCTTTTCCTGAGGCATTTTCATTGCTATCTAATTGAATATATAAAGGTAATTATATAAATGTAGCTGCGATAATGTACATAGCTTTTGACGGCAAGACAATTTATATGCGTCCGAGTCCTATGCTGGCTGTAAGATTATGCATGTAATTTACACCTCATATGAGTATAATGTTATCAAAATAATACATGATTGTTGAAGTAACCAATTCCCACTACGATGAAATAACTCTTTCATGAAATTTGTCAAGTCCCTCTTGATTTTTTTTTAGAAATGGTCGCCACGACAGATCACACATGATGTTGTAGTAGAGTGAATAATAAATAAAGTATTTACTGTTGATGCTGCCATGCTTACTACGTTTTCCATATTTGGTCATGACACCCATATATAGACAAAGTTTCTATCATGGCGGTCAATTCAGCTTTCAATTGGCCTCGCTATGTAAGCTTGATATTTTAGCAACATTTTAGGCAGAGTTTCACTTCAAGTAAAAAAGGAGATCAACAGTTTATACATGCATTACAACTGTAGCGGAACTAAACACTGGTCGATTATGGTGGCCAGGTACAATGTATATACGTGTAGCTCAATTGGTAGAGCGTCCATTTAGAGTTTTGAGGAACCCAGCTGGTTCGAACATGGGTCTGGCCTGTATTTTTCCATCTCCTGTTCAGTGGGGCCTGTGACCAACCCTTGTTTCAAGCATTGGGGGTACGCTTGGAAAGTAGGTTGCATTGTAAATATGGCAATGTCTTTGAAGACTTAGAAAAAAAGAGGGAGGAATGTAGTGGAACTAGACTGGGTTGTTCATTGATAAACAGGTAACTCATGATCAATTGAGCATCTGTCTGGAGATTTGAGGGTCCCATGTTCGAACCCCGGTCTGGTCGTGCATTTTTCCATCTCTTTTGTTTCACAAACCTGTGTAATGTGGACCCATGACATGTTCTGGCAAGCGATGTGAAAATTGCCCCGGTGGATTCACATCTGGCTTGCTCCATTACAAGGCATGGGAAAGATTCAATACCCGGCTCTGGCAGAGGAAGCCAGGAATTAGCACTATTAGAAATGTGACTTTTCTATAGGTATTTGATCATAAGTAATAATAAATGTTGCAAGGACATCATACTTTTGGAGTTGTCAGTAGAATTGAAATACCGTAGGTTAAAAGTAAATAAAAGAATACATGCGTTCAATGTCTGGGGATCAAATGTTTGACTCCAAACTCTTTTATAAAGTAACATTTATTGGGACTTTTCTGGTACAGATTATATACTTACAATAACCAAGGAATGTTAGGATCCATATATTTGTACCAGGGTAACAAATGGTAATTGCGTCAACCTTCTAACATCAATATTATTAAATTTAGATGAAATACAAACACAGTATCTAAGCCTTGGGTCTAATATTTGTTGAGATTTCCTTAACAAAAATCTTGAAATATATGAATCTTTGATGTTAACTGAGCATTTGCAAATCCGACTGAATCCGACAAGTGTATGGGCATAAAGACATGTACAGTAGTGATTACCAATTACAATTGTTATGAGGCAACTTAAAAATCAATTAACACTTAGGATTTTTGGTTGCCTTTGATTAAAAAAGATAATTCATCCTATATTTGACTGAATGGAGTCCCTTAGTATTCTTATTAACTCTTATTTTCAGTATTGCCATTTAAATTCAGTTTAGCTATAGGCAGCCAGTGACTTCCTGTCGGTGAAAAGTATATATCACCTTGACTCCTTACAGTAGAAAAGATCTGGGATCACACAATGTAATGTTATGACACATAATATAACAAACCCTGTGCTAAAAATTATAACAATGATTTATTAATTTCTTTTTTACACAGATGAGGTTGGAGCGCTGGTTTTTGATGTAGGCTCCTATTCCGTCAGGGCAGGATATGCAGGGGAGGACTCACCAAAGGTAATTAAAGGACAATAATTTGATTTATAATTTTCTTGAATAATAGACCCAGGAAAAAAATGTTAGTTGTCAATATATTTTCCTATCTTTTATATAAATGTCACAATATTTTGAGAATTTAAAGGATTTACATTAAAAACACTAAAGAGAAATCACTGAGTGTATATTATATTGTTATATATAATTTGTATTTCATATCATTTGTTTCCTGATTAATGCAGGCAGAGATACCCACACATGTGGGTGTCATCGAGGATCTGGAGGCAGCCATGGAAACAGAAGACAAAGAAATCAAACAGGCAGATAAGAAATACTACATAGACACTACTATGCTGAAGGTGCCACGTAAAGGAATGGAAATCAGCAGCTTCCTAAAGGATGGCATGAGTATGTCAAATTGTCTCATTGACGAGTCTGGTGATTAATAGAATCTCACCCCCTTGGGGGTGAGATAGGGGAATCTCAACCCGAGGGGAATATTCTTATGTTGCCAAACAGGAGGCTTTGTCAAGTGTTTAGCAACTTAAGAATCTTTCCCCAAGGGTTGAGATTCCCCTATCTTACCCACAAGAGGGTGAATGATTCTTTTTCTCTTACCCTGTTCTCCCAATGTGTACCATGCATATACACAATGTAATGATAACATCACATGCTAAATTCAGGGTTGACTTGACGTTGATGGATTGTTGATGTGACCTCATTGTATTGTTGAAGTGACGTCATACCATTGTTATAAATAGGGGAATTATTCCGTCTCAACCCTAGGGTGAGACAAGGAAATCTCACACCAGTAAAAGTGTGGATACACCTGTCCAGGGTAAGAGAAAATCAGAACTCAACATGACCGGGAAAAGTCATTCCCAGGTCATTTTCAGATCAAATTTCATTTCTTATTTTTGATATTCTGTAAATTAAATGTACATGTGTTTAAATTATATACAGTGTGGGATAACAAGTTCTGGTATTTCCAGTCATTTCATCATTACTGGTAGGAAACCTCCTTGATATTAAAGATACCAGTTTTATTGAAATGTTGTGTTTGTCTGTGCAAGAGTTTGTAAAAACAACACTTACACTGTATTTCCATGTTTGGTATCATTCAAAACTACTGGTAACACCTTTTTCCTGTATTTCAGTTGACAACTGGGAGATCTTTGAAAAGGTTATGGATTACACTTACTCCAAGAACATCAAATCAGAAGCAAACATGCATCCTGTTATGATGTCAGAGCCAGCAGTAAGTACGATCTTGTTAGGGTGTCATGACTCAAAGGGTAGAGAAAAGAGGAAGACAGAAGCCTCAGTGTGCAATCAAATGTGACTTCAGACCACTCATGTTCCCAAGAGTTTCAGTTCCATCCCCAGTGTAGTGGTGGCGAAAAAAGAGAGTGATGTCTGATAGAGTTAGTTGATGGCATGGTGGTTTTCCCCCCGTGGGATTTCCTTCACGAAAGCATCATTTGTTCCCTTAGCGTTGTCCAGAGCATATGTTTGTTTGTTGTTAGCAATGTACACAACGATAAATAAAGATTATATTATTTTGAAAAATTATAATCAAGAGACAAATTGTTTGTTCGAAAAATCAAATAATCGAGTGTTCTATTTAAACACCTTGCAAAATCAACAAATACATACAAAGCTGCACCTTATTTTACACATGATTATCTGATATTTCCATAAAATTTTCACTCTCAACTTCAATGTTATTAATAATCATAAATCTGGATGGTAAATATCAGCCAATTAGAACAGAGGAAATCAAACCTGGAAAGAGCAATATTTTTTTTCTGAAATTTTAGATGACAAGAAGTCAACAATTTGAATTGCAACTTTCAAGAACCAAAATTCCTTAGAATAAGTATTTTCAAGCAAAGTCACAGAAAAAAATAATAGTTTCTGCTATAATCAGCTGATTTAGTACATATTCAATATGGCTATCACTGCAGATACTGTTTGAAAAATGGATACCAGTTAAGTCATGTGTCAAGACTGTACAGGTTCAATAATTGTACAAATTAAACTACATTCAGCTTTGATTGAATTTTTGAGAGATATTCACAAATCATGTAGAAAGGCCTATTTTTGAATAGTAAAGAGGGCTTTTCATTTCAGTTCCTGTGACATGGAAATTTATGAAAGTTTTTGATAACTTTAATTGTAATTTGGAGAATGAGCAATAAACAAATTATAAGGAAGTCCTGTATATTCAATGATTACCGAGGTACAAAGTGTATTTGTTGTTGATTGTTTATTTTGAACATTTCTTTTTCAGTGGAACAGCCGAGGGAAGAGAGAAAGACTAACAGAAATTATGTTTGAGACATACAATGTTCCTGCTTTTTTCTTGTGTAAAAATGCAGTTTTATCAGCGTATCCTTTTGTTGTGTAAACAACACTACATATTTTTACTTTATAGCCAAAGCAAAATAATTGCTGTGTTTCATCTTTTAACTTGATGATTAATGATTTTGAGTAATAGATCATAGCTAGAGCTAAAAAAACACAACGTACCTACAGCATTTTATCATCTTTATTAGCATTTTATAATTTCTATTATTTTCCTCAACACTTACAAGTTTTGCGAATGGCAGATCTACAGGTCTGGTCCTAGACAGTGGATCTACACACACGACAGCTGTTCCAGTATATGATGGTTATGTCATAGGTCAAGGTAAATATCAATGGTAGATTGATCTGAAGGTCAACAAAGCTGTTTAAATGAATGATTTTGGTCAAAGCCTGTAGGTGTCAAAAGTGTTCAAACCTTTAAATAGCTTGGTGTGAATAACCAAGATACCCAGCTTTATGATATTAGGCCTATAGTTTTTCTGTGTAAAGGAATACTTATTTTGTACAAATGAATGACTTTCACCAACATTCAATGCTAGGAAGATTATAGGATGAATTTATAAATTTTGGCAGTACATTTAGTATCAATTTTGTGATATCTAGATTGTTAAGTCTGTATTGTGATTATAGTTTTACCAACGTTCCTTAACTTTATCGAAGGATCCCTGTCCCATTGCATATTTATAGTAACCTCACCTTTATTATGTCTCCCCTTCGAATGCAGGGAGACATATTGGATTACATGTAGTACTGGTTCTTGTGGTTCTTGTTCTGGTTCTTCTAATATGATCTTGTCCTGCTGGCTGTAACTTTTAAACCGTTCCAAGATATTTGGAAAAAACATGCAGTATACCTGTAGCACCCATAGGCAATGTGTAGTGCACTGTCATTAGGTCATTGTGACCTTGACCCCAAGGTCAAAGGTCAAATATGTGCTGATTATTCAGGAACATTTTGTCTTGGCTTTAACTTTTAAACCATTAAATATATCTATATGAATCTTGCAGTATACCTGCATCACCTACAGATGATGTGCATTATGCAGTGTCATTATATATAATTAGATAACTGTGGCTTTTACCTCAGGGTCAAAGGTGAAAAATGTTTTGGTTTGTTTTCAGACATTTAGATGTGTATGCTACGGTGATGCAAATGGTCCCTCACTGAGGCTAATTTTGCTGAAACCTATAGCATGAAAGTATAAAGTGGCATTGTTAACTCTATCAAAGCATCATTTGTGACTATGGTGTCAGTTTTGAGAACTTCTGTGATGGTCCCCACTTCAATTAGATCTTGTTCATATATGCATTATATACTTGAGCAGTATGCAGTTCTTTAGCTGCAGGAACCGTAGCTTCTAGTCCTGACCTATAGTAAAGAAATTCTGATAAATCTTGCAGTGCATCACCCACAGACAATGTACAGAACACTGTTATGAGGTGACTGTGACCTTGACCTCAAGGTCAAAGGTCAAATAAGTGTAAAGTTTTCAGGAATATTTTATCCGGGCCATACATTTTAAACTTTTTGAGGGGAGACATACGTTTTTTGTTCACAAAAACCAATATCTAGTTTCATTTTGGATTATAACTGTAGCACAGTTTGACCGGTACACTTCTGCTGAGCCAGGTAGCACAATCAGTTAGAGTGATAGCATAACAATCTGAAATCTATGTTTTAAATTTCGTCAAACCACTCCGAACACTTTGATGGAATTTTTCTGTTTATTTCTTTTTTATTATTTTTCATAAAAGTACCACAAAGGTTTAGGTTTTTTTCTGAATTGATTTATCAAAAATGTAGTCATACCAGTTAAAACAGTAACCAATGTGTGTGGTTACAATTTTTTGCAGTGGTACATGGATCCTTAAAATTGTAAATTAAGGTTGTTAATGCTTTCCTTAGGGAGAGATAACAAATAAGGGAAAAAATCTGGTACTTTTGATGTTTAGTGAAACTGGCCATTTTGATATTTTACATATTTTACGCGGTTGTGAAAATCTTGAAATAGACACTGCTCCTAAAATAGCCTATGACCTAAAGCTATGATCTCAATCATATATTCACAGCCATCGTGAAATCCCCACTGGCAGGAGACTTTATATCTCTGGAGTGTAAGAAACTGATGGAGGAGTTAGAGATTGATGTCATACCCCCATACATGATACAGAGTAAGGTAAGGTCTCTTTAGTATAGTGTTGGCTAATGATCAATTATAATCAACAAATTGGTTCGGTTGGCTTGATTCTAATAACAAGATTTTATATAAAACATGTAACATGAAATATCCAATTTTTACACTTTTAGCAGATTCAATGTTTGATGGGTATTTGCTGTATTTGTATTATAGGAAGCTGTCCCCCAAATGGAAAGTCCCAAATGGAAAAATGGATTTTATATAAAACATGTAACATGAAATATCCAATTTTTACACTTTTAGTAGATTCAATGTTTGATGGGTATTTGCTGTATTTGTATTATAGGAAGCTGTCCCCCAAATGGAAAGTCCCAAATGGAAAAAGAAGGACATTCCGGAGGTTACCAAGTCTTTCGAGAATTACATGGTCAAGGTAAAGGAATTTTTTTCGCTCTTTAGGTTTTCAAGTTGAGAAAGTTCGTAGGTTTTTTAAGGGTTTTCAATTTGTCGAAGATTTTTTTTTTCTGGATTTCCTATCAAGGTACATGTTATTACAATTTTATTTCTTGGGTTTACAGTGAAAGGACATTTTGTCTTTTCAGAATGACAGATATTCATTTTTATTGGGTCGAGGTTTGGGGAGCGTGTCAAGGTTAAGGGATTTGTTTTTGCATGGGATTTCTTGGTATTTCTCAAAATAACGTATAGAAATTTTGTGCCTACTTGAAATCATCTGTGACTAAAAGTTATGTATAATATTCATATTGAGACAGTCCATTGATGGGTAGCCTCATTTATGATTTTCTTTTAAACGGTTTCTGTACCCTCGTTTCAGCACTATAAATGACATTTTTATTTATGAATACTGATTTATTTTTGAGTTTTTTCGTGTAAATTGCTATGAATTTCACCTGCACTAAAATTATGTTTGAAAATTGATTGCTAGCACCCTCAAGAATTAGATCATATATTTTTTAATCCATCAGACTATCAACTGAATTAAGTGGGTTTCCTTTGTAGTGTATTATGCCGAAATGTCCCAAAGACTTCACCATAACCTTATGTTTGGCACCATTAATGAAACAAGAGTGCCATCTAACTTCTGTTCTCTCTCTATCCTTCCTCAAACTCCCCATTGCTTGTGGCTTCTGGCATCCTAGATAAGATTCGAAGACAGAATAATATTTCTAGTCGGATCCCTTTTACTTTCCTTTAATACAACTCACACTGTGTATTATGTATAAAGGACACTGGATTCAGTACATATGGTAATTCTATAATTATCTCGTTGATCCTCATTAATGTGATCACCCATCAGAGAACCTCAGCCAGACATGAGGTCTTGAGCATTTGACAATGTTGGATCTCCAGTGTGCTGGTAGGCGTGGGTTCGACTTTCAATGTCAGAGGCAGCTCATCTCAAACTTCTAATCAGATCTATAAATATTATTTAACTCATGGCAGCTCATGGAAATTATCGTTGATCTGATTCTTAATGATTGTTATATCTGTGTATCCAAGATAGACTATAAAAAAATCAATGATAATTTAGAGAGATAGATACATTCTGGGGTGTTGATAATGTTTATTCATAAACAGAGTCATTTATATATGGTTCTTAATACATGATCAAATGATTGTTTTTGTATTGCAGGATGTGTTACAAGATTTTGCAGCCTCAGCACTTCAAGTGATGGACACACCATATGAGGATAGGTAAATATTATACAGGTGTATGTAGTGATGGACACCCCCATATGAGAATAGGTAAATATTATACAGGTGTATGTAGTGATGGACACCCTCATATGAGTATAGGTAAATATCATACAGGTGTATGTAGTGATGGACACCCTCATATGAGAATAGGTAAATATCATACAGGTGTATGTGGTGATGGACATCCCCATATGAGAATAGGTTAAATATTATACAGGTGTATGTAGTGATGAACACCCCCATATGAGGATAGGTAAATATTATACAGGAGTATGTAGTGTTGGACATCTCGTATGAGGATATGTAAATATTGAACAGGTGTATGTAGTGATGGACACCCCCATATTAGAAAAGGGTAAATATTATACAGGTGTATGTAGTGATGGACACCCCCATATGAGGATAGGTAAATATCATACAGGTGTATGTAGTGATGGACACCTCCATATGAGGATAGGTAAATATTATACAGGTGTATGTAGTGTTGGACATCTCGTATGAGGATAGGTAAATATTGAACAGGTGTATGTAGTGATGGACACCCCCATATGAGAATAGGTAAATATTATACAGGTGGATGTATTGATGGACGCCCCCATATGAGAATAGGTAAATATTGAACAGGTGTATGTATTGATGGACACCCCCATATGAGAATAGGTAAATATTTACCTATCCTCATATGGGGGTGTCCATCACCACATACACCTGTATCATATTTACCTACTCTCATATGCGGGTGTCCATCAATCCATACACCTGTATGATATTTACCTATCCTCATATGGGGGTGTCCATCACTACATACCCCTGTATAATATTTACCTATCCTCATATGAGGGTGTCCATCAATACACACACCTGTATAATATTTACCCATTCTCATATGGGGGTGTCCATCACAACATACACCTGTATAATATTTACCTATCCTCATATGGGGGTGTCCATCACTAAATACACCTGTATAATATTTACCTATTCTCTTATGGGGGTGTCCATCACTACATACCCCTGTATAATATTTACCTATCCTCATATGAGAATAGGTAAATATTGAACAGGTGTATGTATTGATGGACACCTTCATATGAGGATAGGTAAATATCATACAGGTGTATGGATTGATGGACACCCCCATATGAGAAAGGGTAAATATTATACAGGTGTATGTATTAATGGACACCCCCATATGAGAATCGGTAAATATTATACAGGTGTATGTGGTGATGGACACCCCCATATGAGGATAGGTAAATATTATACAGGTGGATGTAGTGATGGACACCCCCATATGGGAATAGGTAAATATTATACAGGTGGATGTAGTGATGGACACCCCCATAAGAGAATAGGTAAATATTATACAGGGGTATGTAGTGATGGACACCCCCAGATGAGAATAGGTAAATATTATACCGGTGTATGTAGTGTTTGACATCTCGTATGAGAATAGGTAAATATTAAAAAGGGGTATGAAGTGTTTGACATCTCGAATGAAAAAAGGAAAATATTATACAGGTGTATGTAGCGATGGACACCCCCATATGAGAAAACGCAAATATTATACAGGTGTATGTAGCGATGGACACCCCCATATGAGAAAAGGTAAATATTATACAGGTGTATGGAGTGATGGACACCCCCATATGAGAATTGGTTAAATATTATACAGGTGTATGTATTAATGGACACCCCCATATGAGAATAGATAAATATTATACAGGTGTATGTAGCGATGGACACCCCCATATGAGAAAAGGTGAATATTATACAGGTGTATGTAGTGTTGGACACCCCCATATGAGAATAGATAAATATTATACAGGTGTATGTATTGATGGACACCCCAATATGAGAATAGGTAAATATCATACAGGTGTATGTGGTGATGGACATCCTGTATGAGAATAGGTAAATATCATACAGGTGTATGTGTTGATGGACACCCCACATTCAAACTATGCAAAACAAAGATAATATAATTTTATCAAATTTTAAGTCTCTGACCATTTGAAACAAGTTCAGCATGTTGTGAATTTGCCCACATATACAGTACTGCTAAATATACATGTTAAAATTCTGTTATTACAAACAATTCTAAATTCTGATTGCAGCACAGCTGAGACAATGCCTGCAGCACTCTACGAATTTCCTAATGGCTATAATCAAGAGTTTGGAGCAGAGAAGTTCAAGCTAGCTGAAGGACTCTTTGACCCCTCAGTGATGAAGGTAAGTTATTGGATCAAAATGGATATCAGTTGCTTCACGATGTTAACAAGATTATTTTCAATACAGTGTCTTTTTTGAGCCAGCTGCAATAAGCTAAGAATACTTTTCATTGCCAAGGAAATCACTTATCCCCCCCCCCTCCCCTCCAATTTCCAATTTGTGTGAGAACTTCTTTGGATAGCTGAGATTTTATTTACTATAAACAGTTATAATATGCCCTTTTTGCTGTTTTTATACGACCGTCAAATTTGACAGTAGTATTATGGTATGGCGTTGGCCGGCCGGCGTAAACTTTGTTTGTCCGGCAATCTCCTCCTACATTTTTCGACTGATCTATTTGAAATTTGGTATACATTATAATCATGATATGAAGTTGTGTCTACCTTCAAAGAATTTTGATTCGTCAGTTTTTCCAAAACTTATTGCCCTTTGTTCATTTCAGTATTTGAGTTTTGTCCGGAGATCTACTCCTACATTTTTCGACTGATCTCTTTGAAACTTAGTATACATTATAATCATGATATGAAGTTGTGTCTACCTTAAAAGAACTCTGATCCGACAATTTTTCCAAAAGTTATTGCCCTTTGTTCATTTCAGTATTTGAATTTGTCCGGAGATCTCCTCCTACATTTTTCAATGGATCTCTTTGAAACTTGGGATACTTTATGATCATGATATGAAGTTGTGTCTCCCTTAAAAGATTTTTGATTCAAAGATGTTTGCAAAATTTATTGCCTTTTGTTCATTTCAGTATTTTAATTTTGTCCAGAGATCTCCTCCTACATTTTTCAACAGATCATCTTTGAAACTGGGTATACTTTATAATCATGATTTGAAGTTGTGTCTCCTTAAAAGATTTTTGATTCAACGATTTTTGCAAAATTTATTGCCTTTTGTTCATTTTAGTATTTGATTTAAGATTATAAGATTTTCTCCTACATTTTTTATAACATATCAACTAACCACTCTTAGAATGATGCAGATCTTATTTCAGTGTAAGAAAGTATATAACACTATGGCATTCGACGGGCGTATTTTGTTTCCCCCCCCCCCCCCCCCCCCGCGGTACTCTTGTTAGTTTTATCTGTGGTGTAGTGTCACATACTAAAACCAGGTCGCTGTGCCCAGCTTTATGTACAGAGTTATGACTGATACCAAAGTTTGTTCAAATCGAGGTGACTATGATTGCTGTCTAAACCTTGCTTTGTTTTACATGATCATTTCCACCTAGCTTCCTATTACAATTGGACAAAATATCTCATGTTAAAATATTGTTTACACGCCTACAACAGTTATTTTATCACAGGATTATCATGTTGTGTAGTGAATTAATTAATGTCATAGTTTTGCATATCATAAACATTCTAAAATGTCCCTCAAACATCAGAATTAAGATCTTTACTTGACATCAAAGCATTGTAACACTTCATCCATCTAAGATATTGATTTATAGTGACAGCCATATGATATTGATTCACCATATCAGGATTAAATAAGAGAAACAGTATATATAAAATCCTCTTTGTTGTGTATTTGTAGGACCTGCCGAGTGGGAACACGATGTTGAGCGCGGGACATGTTGTTACCACCAGTGTGGGCATGTGTGATATTGATATACGACCAGTAAGTTGTTTATTTTAGCATAATTTCATTCATTGTACATGTATTGAACTTTTTTATTGTTATACTAAATTGGTTCCATGCTCATTTTTTTCTTCATTTTAATCCATTTGCAGAGTTGTTGAATAAAAACTAAGGCAAACCTAAAACAAGCAAATCTTAGTCTAATTATTTCAGATTTAATCCTTATTCTACAACTTATAAAAACAGTATGTAAGAATTTTTATGCACAAGAAAAATCATGTTGACTTTTTGTAAGCCTGTTGACAAAGGGTTGTATTATGGTATACCCTGTGCTACCATGTGTAAGCCTGTTGACAAAGTGTTGTATTATGGTATACCCTATGCTACCATCTGGAAGCCTGTTGGCAAAGGGTTGTTATATGGTATACCCTGTGCTACCCTCTGTAAGCCTGTTGACAAGGGTTGTATTATGGTATGCCCTGTGTTACCATCTGTAAGACTGTTGACCAAGGGTTGTATTATGGTATTCCCTGTGCTACCATCTGTAGGCCTGTTGACAAAGGGTTGGATTATGGTATACCCTGTGTTACCATCTGTAAGCCCGTTGACAAAGGGTTGTATTTTGGTATACCCTGTGCTACCCTCTGTAAGCCTGTTGACAAGGGTTGTATTATGGTATTCCCTGTGCTACCATCTGTAGGCTTGTTGACAAGGGGTTGTATTATGTTATACCGTGTGTTACCATCTGTAATCCTGTTGAGAAAGGGTTGTATTATGGTATAACCTGTGCTACCATCTGTAAAAACTAAGGCAAACCTAAAACAAGCAAATCTTAGTCTAATTATTTCAGATTTAATCCTTATTCTACAACTTATAAAAACAGTATGTAAGAATTTTTATGCACAAGAAAAATCATGTTGACTTTTTGTAAGCCGGTTGACAAAGGGTTGTATCAGGTATACCCTGTGCTACCAACTGTAAGCCTGCTGACAAAGGGTTGTATTATGGAAAACCCTGTGTTACCATCTGTAAGCCCGTTGACAAAGGGTTGTATTATAGTATACCCTGTGCTACCATCTGTACGCCTGTTGACAAAGGGATGTATTATGGTATACCCTGGGCTACCATCTGTAAGCCTGTTTACAAAGGGTTGTATTATGGAATACCCTGTGCTACCATCTGTAAACCTGTTGACAAAGGGTTGTATTAGGTATACCCCTTGCTACCATCTTTAAGCCTGTTGACAAAGGGATGTATTATGGTTTCCCCTGTGCTACACTCTGTTATCTTGTTGACAAAGGGTTGTATTGTGGTATACCCTGTGCTACCATCTCTCAGCCTGTTGACAAAGGGTTGGATTATGGTATACCCTGTGTTACCATCTGTAAGACTGTTGACCAAGGGTTGTATTATGGTATATGCTGTGCTACCATCTGTAAGTTTGTTGACAAAGGGTTGTATTGTGGTATACCCTGTGCTACCAACTGTCAGCCTGTTGACAAAGGGTTTTATTATGGTATACCCTGTGGTACCATCTGTAAGCCTGTTGACCCCCGGTTGTATTATGGTATACCATATGCTACCATCTGTAAGCTTGTGGACAAAGGGTTGTATTATGGAAAACCCTGTGTTACCATCTGTAAGCCCGTTGACAAAGGGTTGTATTACGGTATACCCTGTGCTACCAACTGTCAGCCTGTTGACAAAGGGCTGTATTATGGAATACCCTGTGCTACCATCTCTCAGCCTGTTGACAAAGGGTTGGATTATGGTATACCCTGTGTTACATGTATTGAACTTTTTTATTGTTATACTAAATTGGTTTTTTGCTCATTTTTTTCTTCATTTTAATCCATTTGCAGAGTTGTTGAATAAAAACTAAGGCAAACCTAAAACAAGCAAATCTTAGTCTAATTATTTCAGATTTAATCCTTATTCTACAACTTATAAAAACAGTATGTAAGAATTTTTATGCACAAGAAAAATCATGTTGACTTTTTGTAAGCCTGTTGACAAAGGTTTGTATTATGGTATTCCCTGTGTTACCATCTGTAAGCCCGTTGACAAAGGGTTGTATTAGGTATACCCCTTGCTACCATCTTTAAGCCTGTTGACAAAGGGATGTATTATGGTTTCCCCTGTGCTACACTCTGTTATCTTGTTGACAAAGGGTTGTCTTATGGTATAACCTATGCTACCATCTGTAAGACTGTTGACCAAGGGTTGTATTATGGTATTCCCTGTGCTACCGTCTGTAAGCCTGTTGACAAGGGGTTGTATTATGTTATACCGTGTGTTACCATCTGTAATCCTGTTGAGAAAGGGTTGTATTATGGTATCCCCTGTGCTACCATCTGTAGGCTTGTTGACAAGGGGTTGTATTATGTTATACCGTGTGTTACCATCTGTAATCCTGTTGAGAAAGGGTTGTATTATGGTATGCCCTGTGTTACCATCTGTAAGACTGTTGACAAAGGGTTGTATTAGGTATACCCCTTGCTACCATCTTTAAGCCTGTTGACAAAGGGTTGGATTATGGTATACCCTGTGTTACATGTATTGAACTTTTTTATTGTTATACTAAATTGGTTTTTTGCTCATTTTTTTCTTCATTTTAATCCACTTGCAGAGTTTTTGAATAAAAACTAAGGCAAACCTAAAACAAGCAAATCTTAGTCTAATTATTTCAGATTTAATCCTTATTCTACAACTTATAAAAACAGTATGTAAGAATTTTTATGCTCAAGAAAAATCATGTTGACTTTTTGTAAGCCTGTTGACAAAGGGATGTATCAGGTATACCCTGTGCTACCATCTGTCAGCCTGTTGACAAAGGGTTGGATTATGGTATACCCTGTGTTACCATCTGTAAGCCTGTTGCCAAAGGGTTGTATTATGGTATGCCCTGTGTTACCATCTGTAAGACTGTTGACCAAGGGTTGTATTATGGTATATGCTGTGCTACCGTCTGTAAGCCTGTTGACAAGGGTTGTATTATGGTATCCCCTGTGCTACCATCTGTAGGCTTGTTGACAAGGGGTTGTATTATGGTATACACTGTGCTACCATCTGTACGCCTGTTGACAAAGGGTTGTATTATGGTATACCCTGTGCTACCAACTGTAAGCCTGTTGACAAAGGGTTGTATTATGGTATAACCTATGCTACCATCTGTAAGCCTGTTGACAAAGGGTTGTATTATGGTATACCCTGTGCTACCATCTGTAAGCTTGTTGACAAAGGGTTGTATTATGGTATACCCTGTACTACCATCTGTGAGCCTGTTGACAAAGGGTTGTATTATGGTATACCCTGTGCTACCATCTCTAAGCTTGTTGACAAAGGGTTGTATTATGGTATACCCTGTGCTACCAACTGTAAGCCTGCTGACAAAGGGTTGTATTATGGTATAACCTATGCTACCATCCGTAAGCCTGTTGACAAAGGGTTGTATTATGGTATACCCTGTACTACCATCTGTGAGCCTGTTGACAAAGGGTTGTATTATGGTATACCCTGTGCTACCAACTGTAAGCCTGCTGACAAAGGGTTGTATTATGGTATAACCTATGCTACCATCCGTAAGCCTGTTGACAAAGGGTTGTATTATGGTATACCCTGTGTTACCATCTGTAAGCCTGTTGACAAAGGGTTGAATTATGGTATACCCTGTGCTACCATCTGTAAGCATGTTGACAAAGGGTTGTATTATGGTATAACCTATGCTACCATCCGTAAGCCTGTTGACAAAGGGTTGTATTATGGTATACCCTGTACTACCATCTGTGAGCCTGTTGACAAAGGGTTGTATTATGGTATACCCTGTACTACCATCTGTGAGCCTGTTGACAAAGGGTTGTATTATGGTATGCCCTGTGCTACCGTCTGTAAGCCTGTTGACAAAGGGTTGTATTATGGTATACCCTGTGCTATCAACTGTAAGCCTGTTGACAAAGGGTTGTATTATGGTATACCCTGTTCTACCATCTGTAAGCCTGTTGACAAAGGGTTGTATTATAGTATACCTTGTGCTACCATCTGTAAGCTTACTTTCCTTGCCCATGGCTCTCCTGTCTTCATTGATGGATATATCTTAAACTTCATACAAATTAATGTACAGATATAATGTGAATAAATTCATGTTTCATAACTTTAGGTGTTGTTTTACAGAGTGATGACTCTTTTGTTCATTCTGATGCCAAAGTTGTTTTGCAAAATTACTTCCTTGCTATTTTCCCTCCATTTACCGGAATTGCTGTACTTTTGTACCTTGAGAAGGCAAAGTATTGCACACTAGAGTAAGGTCTCTTTCTCCACTTCATTTGTATATCCAATTTTTTCGGCTTTTGATCATCATCCCACATTTAAACTTCCGTTTTTAGGAAAGTAGCTTTGATTTCATGATCGTAGTAACTTTTTTCTAGGCTAGGTAATCTAGTGCCATAAACTGTGAGATTGAGACAGGGGAAGGACACAAGCCATGAAAACTGTCTTCCTTCTTTATTTTGGTTTCTATATGTTATACAAATTTATATTGATAAATTAAAGTAAGAGAGACAATGAATCAATAGCACAAAACTTTAACCCTTTCACCCCTACTTAACTTCAGTAGCCTCTACCATGCATTCATATGGATGAATCCACTATGGTCTATAGTGGTGAAAGGGTTACATTTGTAATTCAAATTAATTGTCTGTACATTTCCTGTCTACAGAGTCTGTACAGCAGTGTGATAGTAGTGGGAGGTAACAGTCTGATCGCAGGATTTACAGAACGACTGAACCGTGACCTCGGCACCAAGACACCACCAGTAAGTACTTTTGTCTGTTATCCTCCTTCTGACATATGTATGAACGTCTTGTGGGAGTGTGTGGAAGAAAAGATAGATTGTGAATTTAGTGTTCCATAGTCAAGCTAGATATTTAATTCTATAGTGTAAATTGATTTATTCAACAATTGGAATGTGTGCTTCAAAAGAAACTCAGACAACACCTATATTATTTTGCATTTATTTGCTTTCACTATTGTCCATTAAATTTTGAGTTTTTAAAAGGACAACACCACTTTTGGTAACATCATGCTATTGATGCTGACAATCTCCACCTGGAATTCTAATATTGATAAGTCTATATCTCTCTCAAAAAAAACTAGGTGCATTTTATTGTCAGTTTTTGTTGACCCTTAATCTCTGGGCTTTCATGGAGTACAAGTGAATCAACTCACTAGCTTGAAAAGCAAATTAATCAACATTTTAGAATATAGAATCAAGGGGAATAACTCCAGCAGTCTTATAGAAATTACCTGAGAAATTACTGGTATCTTGCAAATACATTGCAGGAATCTGTATAGATATCTTCTGATCTACAGTATGGCAGGTGATGAGTAGGGTTCCTTTATTTAGACACATTTTTCCTCAGATAGCACACTGTTTATGTTGACTTTTTCCCGTCATGGTAAAGACACAAAGGTCTTTTTATCCCACTCTCAAAATCAAAAGTCTCCATTAATTAAGTGATATGTTGTTCTGATAGATTGCACTCATCACATGCACTGTGTCAGTAGATAATGTTATAAAGCAGATTTCATCAAATATGCCTGTATACAGTACCATTTTGGCGGTAGAAGTTGTCCAACTAAAAAAGTCATGAAGACAACTTCAGGAAAATATATGATAACCTTGAATCAGAAAACAAATTGAGAATTTTGAGAACATGTAAGTTATACTGAAAAACTCTTTTAGTTCCAATTATTAAAACAGGTGCCTTATTACGAATACCTCAGATAGAATAATTAACATGTGCCTTATTACGTATACCTCAGATAGAATAATTAACATGTGCCTTATTACGTATACCTCAGATAAAATAATTATTTTAAAAGCTTAAGATTTCATGTGATGAACATTTTCATGTAAAAAGCACACAAAAAGTTCCTACAATACAGACAAGGTATCCCCAAAACATAGATATGTCCTGTGGATGTAGACATGTCCTGTGGATGTAGATATGTCCTGTGGATGTAGATATGTCCTGTGGATGTAGACATGTCCTGTGGATGTAGACATGTCCTGTGGATGTAGATATGTTCTGTGGATGTAGACATGGCCTGTGGATGTAGAGATATGGCCTGTGGATGTAGATATGCTGTATGGAGAATTATTTCGTTACAAGGAAGTTCTGATTTCAAAGTTGTTACCCAAAGCAGTTCACAGTCAGGCTTAAATTCCTTAACTTATAGCATTGTCCTTTGTTTATGTCTTAAATTCATAAAATTGTTGTTGACCTTGCATTTTTCTGTGCTATTGAATTACTTTATAAAAAGTCATTTATAAGGCAAACATGTCACAGTTCATGGTTAAAGTACAAAAATAATTCCTATCATATCAACATTGAGTTTTAGACACAGCTTTAGGGATTACCTGGTAGGCAAAATATTTCCCCATACATCTGTAAGACAATAAGCTTGAGTCAGATTGTAAAGCAAAGTCACAAGACAATGGTAATGCTATTGTTTAATGCTTGTGTGTGAAATAAAATACATAGAAAGATAAATCAAGAAATCATCACCTTTCTTTAAAAAAAAAGATTATTCAAACATACATGTATATTATGTACTAGTCCCGACTTTTTTTCTTCCTTTTTTTTTAATTTTTGGTCATGTTAAAGGGGTAACTCCATCAAGACCTGATACATTCTTGCCTGCTGTAATTTTGTCTTTGCTTCTTTAAAAAAATACTGAAAAACTGTAGTATCAAAAGAAATCAGACCGAGTTATAAATCGTCCTTGTGTAGAATTCACTCTCTTCCTCAAAGACAAATTAACCAAAAACGTATCTTTTACAGGACATTATTTAGGTTATGTTAATTATTTGTTTCTTAATTTTTTAATGTGCTTTATACTCCTTTACTTTAAGGTTTTTATGACACTTTACACATTATACTTTTTATTTGTGTATTTCCTCTGCATTATCTAATAAGTCGGAGTAATTTATTGTTATGTGCTTTTCAAATCAATCATTTAATTCAGTTTTAAGTCTCATTGATCATTCATAATTGATGTGTACAGAAATAGGTTTACTTAGTTTGGAACTCTTTTGGTTAGGAGATATAGAACGGTATGGTAGCATATACTCTTAAAAAAATAAAGGATGTTTTTTGTATTTAATTGTCACCACACTCATGTATATGTACATATTTATGGCATGTCATTCGACATCTCTCTGCTGATGAGTAGTGTTAAAGGGTTTGTAGGTGTCAACTACACAATATTAATATGTATAAAACTTTGTTAAGTTTTAAGCAATTTGAAACATCCAGGATTTCTTGTTAAAATTCTGACTTGATGAACTTCAAGGTCAGAATGTCATTTTTGTTCAATCCAGCAGCATATGCCCTTTGCTATCAGAGATGTATGGTCTGGAGTAAGTAATACTTAACCACCAACTAGTTACACAAGCCGTTTAGTCCTAATAACACAGAGCGACACTAGCCATTTTGGTTACTAAATGTTAGTGTCATGAAATTACACTTATGGTTGGGTAACAAAAGAGTTTGTTACAACATTGTCCTGCGTCTTCAATGCTATTCCCACTCAATATAAATTATCATTTTATGTACAAATTTGGGACAAACTCATTATCAGTCAAAACAAAGATACCAAAGTTTAAATAACTGCAGAAAAACTGTACCAGCCAGTACATTTGATAGTGGTTTTTTTTTAATTTATTTCAGCTCGCATTGCACTCAATATTACAGAATTGATTGAGCAAGTGTATTTTGTAGTCGTAACTATAAAGGAAACACTGTAGAAGAATTTTTCAGAGAAGCATTTCAATAAATATGAATTAAAATACCCATATAGATATTTGAAGAAAATTAGGTTGAAATTACACTTGTCTGCCTTCTTGTGTGTGACCCGCCCTGTAAAAAGGGGTGGGGCCCTTATCTTAACCATCACACTGGAGACACCATCTAACAACCACACCCAAAATTAGCAATCGTTTGTGTAGGCTGAACCCTAATTAATCTCAACTTATCGGCTCCAATGATCACATTACGTGTTTGGGTAGATTTACTAGAACAAGAATTTATTCATTCTTAATTTGAAATCCTATGATATACGTCAATGATTTGAATTCCATTGATAGCTAAGAAAGGTCTAAAATTGTCATTTAATCTCTTTTTTTTAGACGGGTAATTAAATTTGGATGATTGTATTTCAACACAGATCATATTGATAACCTAAACGGTACGTGTATAGGGTATACAACTAATGCTAGGACCTCATGTCACCATAAATTGTTCCTGTTAGTGTATCATTGGTGTAGACCTATAGCTAGCAGTCCTGTGATCAATTATCATTTCAGACAGTTTTATACATTGTAATTTGGTTTCCTGTATATAAAAAGTTGTATTAGTGGTTTCTTATTTTTGGGCGCGGTATTAGAAAGAAAACAAAATTGTGCATTAAGTTAATGTGTTAGCGGTTTCTTATTTTTGGGCTCAGTAATAGAAAAATATTAATTTTTGCATTAATGAATTAATGCCCAGTTGTGTATTTTCTTTCGTGAAAAACTTTCATAAATGAAGAAAAGACTTGAAAATATAGCTTATCAGTTTTGGATTTTCCTTCTGTTTTAGAATAAATAATTTTCATGAGTAAATATACAATGTATTTTTAGTGGGAGTTTAGTATAGGCATTTTGATCATATCAGTCTTGGATTTTCCTTCTGTTTTAGAATAAATAATTTTCATGAGTAAATATACAATGTATTTTTAGTGGGAGTTTAGTATAGGCATTTTGATCATAATGTGAAAAGCATGAAAATTAAACCACCATGAAAATACTATGTGATACAGTATCATCTATCCAGTACAGTATACATAGATTCTGTTGTAGATATTTAAGCATTGGACTGTTTTTGTATGGTAGCGCATTATGAGTTGTTTGCTTGCAAAGCTGTGTCATTCAAATAGATCATAATTACTATACAAAAACAGTTCAATACTTATATTTATGTTTTCTCTGCCTCATATGTTCTTCCATCCTCCATTCATTCATGTATGATTTCATATATTATAAGTACATGCTTCTTTTCAGTTGCATCACACATATGTTCTTTTTTAACTTATAATTTATATTTAAGATTAAAAATGCCCGCCTTACCGACAGTCCACACAATTTCATTCAATAGTTTGAACAGCGTATTGTCGAGTGTTGATTGGCAAACAAAGTAGTACTTTGAAATTTTAACAAACACTTCAATTTTATTCCACAATTCAGTATCAATACAATTGCGTATGATATGTCTATAGGGTGATTTAAGTTTATCAATAGAACTCTGAGCTGAAAGTTTGATTTGAAATTGTTTCGATTTCTCCCCGGAACAAATTTCGCGCATGGACAAATACAGTGAACACCGTAAATCCGACCTTGCCCTCCACGAGGGAGTTATTTTTGGAAGTTAATTCGAACTTTTCTCTTTGCTCATTTTGTGAAGAATCCAGGCGTGAATGTATTTGTTGATTGTATGGGAACCTGACAACAGTCGGTAGATTCTATAACAGCCTCGTTATTTGACATGTCGTCAGAAACTGAGGAACCGTGGATGCGAGACGCGTGAAACTGATAGCGTTTGAAGTGAGTGATCTTGCGGCGGAGCACAGGTTCGTTACAAATGTCTGAAATGTTTATGTGTGCTGTGACTCATATCAGTAGGTCTGTAACATATGTGTCAGTAGGTCTATAGAATATGTGTATTTCAGACATTTGTAACGAACCCCTGTTGATTAGTGCAGTGTAACAGACGATATTTCTGATAAATTGCATGAGCGTTAAAATTGTTTCCATTGCTGGCATTGGTGATTTCAACCGATGTGCATTTTGTACGATATTGCAGACCTTGGTCTTGTTTTCGCTGTAATAAAAGTGTTTTTTATTTCATTTTATATTTTGCACATAAATTTACAATGACATTGTCAAATCTCACAATGCCCAGCGATATTTCAGCAGCCGTCATGTTTATTTATATTGGATATTGTAGTTCCGGTCAGTGTTGTATTAATACGCTAAGAATTGTGTCTCGTGATACATGGTAATTAAAGTCCCATCAACGACACAGCTTTCAAAGAGGCTATATATAGTGACAATGTCATGCAAATGTAAATATATGGTATTCACTGGTGTTTTGTTGAATATCATGTGTATTTCACAAGTATGGGAGAACATGTGGTATACTTACAAGTATAGAACGATAAGTTAATGAAATGACTGACTGTAAGCATGGAATACACCACTGTAGACCATAATGGACTCATCCATATCAATGTATGGTATAGCTAGTCTACTAAAGTGACATAGGGGTGAAAGGGTTAAGTAGAAATGGATGCTCTGACTTGTAAGTTTCAAGGCTACTGTATGTGATGATGACCTGTTGTGATACTGTTTCATTAACGTATTTGGTGATGTATCAAAAACCTATGATCAAAATGTAAACATTTTTACAGCTAATCAAAATTTTATCATATCAACCAGAAGATTTACAAGCAATTAGAATTCAACCACATAAAGTTATCATGTAAACTTAACTACCCATCCAACCGGGTAAAACTCCTTCAGTTACCAGGTACTTTCTTTATCCCTAATATCATGTTCAAACTTTTTTCTCTTAACAGTTTCTTGTGTACATATTTAGGCTATCACTGCAAAGTTATGCATGTTTTATCAGCTACGCTTGTTATAAACAATGAGAAGGACTATGTATAAGTACAATAGTACTTGTTTCCCAATCATCAGAATGAGTTGTCTATGTAATTGTACAATTGTTATTGATATGCATAAAATATGGTTTAAACTAAACTATTTGGTAAATTGTAAAACATTGCTAAAAAATTAGGAATTACCAATAAGGAAATTAACATCCTGTTTTGTTTGGTTTTAAACTAAACAATAAATCAAAGCGAAAAATAAAGTTGTAAATATATTTCCTGATTACATTAAACCGTTGGGATACCAGATGGATACATACATACACTATCATATACTGATGAGGTTTTTGTCTACTTCCAACACCACACTGCTGTCCGGTTACTTGGATAGTGTTAGTGTTAATTACACTACTGCCCTCTCTCAGATCTCTGCTATAATAATTATAACAAATTGTATTTTATTACTAAAAACTTTAAGATTGACATGCTTCCTTCAATACATAAGCACAGCTGATTCATTGATCATGAGTACAGACATGACACAAACAATATAATACAGTCACCCGATTCACCTTTATTTCATCTGTCCGAAAATCAGTCGGTACCCATGCATTAGATATACTCTATAACTACTGGCAATCCCTTCACACATTTTACATGTACCTATAACGTGATAATGTACACTTATACTCTATGTGTAAGATGTGTAAGAGATCACTGCAAAATAAATGTCAAAAAGAAGAAAATGACCTAGGCTGTTTTCGTTTAAATGGTCAAACTGGTAGGACCACAGTTGTTCGTTTATCAAATGAGGTCGGACTTTGTAATCTGAAGCTGCTTTCCGACGAGCCTTGACAAACCGGTTGTTCCGTATAAACGAACAGGCCCCTACTTTATATTTCATGAATATGGAATAACTTTCAAATAATTTTCACAAACGAGAAGCGACTGGGCCTGTGGTATTATATAGATCAGTGAATGAGTTTAAGATGCACTTCAGACTGGTCGCAATGTGACTGTTGTGTCTGTGATATATTGATTTAAATCTAAACCTGATGATTCTGCTATTAACGTTGACATTATTTGGGTACATGTACTCTGTCACCAGTGGTACCTATATGAACAAAGGTGATACAACTCATGTACCCAAAAGATAGGATCAATTAATAAATTTGTATTGACTGTAGTGTTGAGAAGTGTCAATAATTTACGCTGAAGCATGCGATCCTACCTGGCCGATTGTCCGGGACCAGACGATATCGGTGAAATCATGCCCTCCGGTTTACTTTCCTGTAAATGTCGCAAAACCAGCAGTCATGACCACAGATGACCGATTTTAATAACTTTACAGTAGGTAAAAATTGTGTGGCCAAAAAATATTGCCAAACCACGGACTTAATTAATCTAATTCCGTGGCCAAACTGAACTGTGACATGACCTGGTTTGAAGTGACGTAACCCAAGCCGCCATGATGAGCCCTTCTTACTGATCGTAATTATGATCAATAAAAGGTATCTAATTATGTCTTTCACCAGGAGATATGCACCAGCGGTTACTAAACATCGAATTACTTATTAATTGATATGTTTTTGTAAGCAAGTAAATGTTTGCTAAACTGAATTGATGTATGCCGATATGCGCACACGTGTGTCATGTGTGATCAGATAATTCAATAAAAACAAACAACAAATAACACATTTTACGTAGTTTCTTCTTGGTTTTTAATATCATTTTACATCAATGAAAAAAAAATCATAAGAAATATATTTTAAAAAAATAAATATTCAGAGATCGATTTTCGGAGCATGAACATCGTTTTATTTCCCGATTTTTTGGGTGCGCATAATATTCGAGTAGAAGCTTTTTTCCCGATTTTCAGCCTCAAAAAGTACCTGCGCAAATTACACAGGTGCGCAAATTACATTGGTTTTTACGGTAGTTAATTGCAAATTCAAAGTCATCTCAAATACTTCACGATCTGGTCATTTCAGGATCCTATGTAGGATAAACTGCAATGCAGTGGGACAGGCATCCCTTAAACAGGTAGCCCAGATGCATTGATCTATGAAATATGAAATAGTTCTGCAGGCCAACACATGTGTACCGAGTAGTTAGATGCGGTGCACTGTCTGTACATTTCCTTATCTTGTGAAACAGTAGGGAACCGGCCAATTTGTTGTTAGGCACCAGTTTTCCACCAGCCTATCTTGTCAAACTAAAAGATTTTATGGAGTTTCGTTTTTGTACAGGTAATAAGAGCTTTCTGCTAACTTTTATTTACAACATTTACTTTTGCTAGGATTAGATGATACGTCTTTATCAAATAACTCCATGTACTGTTGGTATTTTGAGAAACATTTCATGACGGACCTGACAGATTTGGGCTGTGCAGGGCACATTTATGAGTTATCTACAATTGATATGTATGATGCAACAGCATTTCATCAAAACACAATTGATAACAGTTTCATTTGCCTCTAGATGGATCTTTGAGATATAAAGCTGTAATCTATTGGACAGAATTAAGTGTGTATGTGTGATAATAGTCTGAACATATCCTTATCAAAGTTGGCTGGCTAATATAATGATGCATTAATTTAAACTGAATCAGTGCCATTTTCTTCATAAGTATCAAAACTTAACAAAACAGCCTGTCAAATGGCTCAAAAACATCATCTGCAGATATACAAGATTTTTTTTTTTTTTTACATATTGTGCAAAAAAAGAACAAATTATGATTTAAAAATCGATAAACATACCACCAAGTTTAAGAACTTAAGCTTGATAAAACTGATTCCAGTTCTGTATATTCAGCATATTTTAAATCACTGATAATTTTTTACTGGTAACCATTAAAGCTTAAACATACGTTTTGTTGGATTTAATATGATATCCATAAATATAAAATTATTATTATAGAACTTCTTTTGTATTTAGATATGTTTAAAAATTTGATTTGAAGATTTGCTCATTATAAATACAATATGCCATTGTCCTGGGCCCAGTTGTATCTATTTCCATAAGCAAATTAAAAGTGACATGTTCAGCGAATTTTGAAATTCAATTTTTCAAAAAAATATGAAAAGAATGTGAATATTTTGTGTTAATTGATGAAAATACACCAACACACTGCCTCTAGCAGAACACATGCATACGTCACATACATGTCCTTGAATGACCTTTGCTTGGTTAATAGGATGCTAAAATCAATCAATCAACCAAACATATAACCAAGCTCTGTTCCAATAGAAAATACTAAACAATGTAAATGCCTAACACTCTTTTTGAATTGTTTAATAGTGAAGAATGTTTTTTAATTGTTAAATATTTCACAACTAACATGCGGCTGTTTTATGCAATCATAGTATCTTTTAAATTTTCTTGGGTTTTTTGGGGTGTTTTTTTCTACCCTCAAAGGACATCTTACTTCTTCTATGCATGTAGCTATATCTTGAAATATTTCATTCTCTTCTTCAATGTATTCGTCATAAAAACTGTTGCTGTGTGAAGTGCAGATGCTGCTTACAAACCAAGTCTGTGAATGATATAGAGGCTGGTGCTTGCATCAGATGTTCTATTTTCCAGCAGATTTAGGTGTTCCCTGTCATTCACAAGGGGGGACAACTCCCAACTCTGTAACAAAAACTGTGTAGTTGAAGAGAATATAATGCTAAGGTTATCTGGTAAAGACGAGGTGTACCAATTTGTGTTGAAACAGTTGAAGATGATCTCTGTTTGTTGTAGTCATTCATCCATTATTCATCGTTTTTCAGAGCATGAGATTGAAGATCATATCAGCCACCGGCACTGCCGAGAGGCGATTCAGCAGTTGGATTGGAGGATCAATCTTGGCGTCTTTGGTAAGCTTCCGGGGAGTCGCATGTACACTATCTCTCGACCAATCGGTGCATTTATCAATGTGCATGTTACATGACTATCAAAGCGTAAGCTGTTTTACCCAAAGGCACATAGAGTCTCATTGACATTACAGCCACTTGTTGTAGTCCGTCAGCCTCACAGACACTTGACATATAGCTATTATTTATATTTTAATGGTACATTGGTAGTCTGATACTGTGTAAGTTATGTTACCAGTGAAACATTGGAAGGGGGGTTGAAGGGAAAATCCTGGAATTTGAGAGCAGTGGGCCTTTTTCAATAATTTTTAGTCAATATCAAAATTAAGATGGGCCTTTTTATGTAAAATTAAAATAAAATTGGAACACTGAAGGGTCCATTTCAATTTTGAGGGGTCAATGGCTCCATGTCCCCCTCTAAGATTATCCCTGGGGTATCCCTGGGGTTGGAGGGATGCAGGGAAGAAGCTTAGGATGCTAGTCAGCTACATGTATCACTATATAATAGGTTTTTGAAGTGAGTCTGTCGACTTGTCAACTGATGTCCCATACAGCAGAATATTACAGTGTAGACATATATATGGGTATCTCTCCCTGCATATGTTAGTAGTATGGTATCCATTGAAGATTATGTTAATGGTCTATTATGCCCAGTGAAGTAAGGTTAATGGAGTAGAGGCCTACATCTCTATAACATTGGAAGAGGTCACTTTGTACTGTATGGTTGGTCATTTTTGTGTGGCTTATGTTTCATGGTTGGTCAGATCAGAACGAGATTGTGGGAATTACAATTTGTGAAACATGGCCAGCCCGCTTACGACAGTACTTTTGTGTATGGATAATGGGATTTATTTAACAGGTGTTTTCTTAATAGCTGTTCTATTATCATTAATGGTGGTAAATTAGTTAACAGATTTTTTGTATTGCTCTTGAATATATAAATATATATATACACAGAGATTATAATTCATGGTATCAATATTCATTATGTAATTAATTTTGTGATATCTTTTGCAGTCAGGAATATAGCGAAAATAAATCCCCCGCAAATATTACCTTCTGTACAGTAGTCCAAGGTCAAGGTCACAGTCTGATACGCGTACATAGTTCAAGGTCAAAATCGTAGTCACTAATGTGCTAAGAAATTGATTATGAAGTGTGTGGGGAAAAAAACATTAGAGACCTCTTATTCTGAATAATTGTGATTACGTCAAGGGATATGTGAGTCATAACAAACGATTTCTTAATTGTTCACGCCCTCCTGAATAATTCATAGTAATTCCCAGATTTAAATAATAGGATGTTTGTCATGAATTGTCAATCGGTATGGGATTGAGTTCTCAGACTCTGATGCTATTTGTTTTACCACCTATTTAATCATCTGCTAATGACATGGTTTTAGAATTCAGTTTTAAAAGATAAGAGAAGACCAGTTTTGGAATATCCATTATGATTCAGCTAACAGTGTTATCAGGCAGTCGTTACGAAAGTTAAATTAGCAAGGGAAACCATTGACAAGTGTTTAAACCAGCGACAGTGTGTTAATGCCACTGGCTCCCTAGATAAATATAAATGATACCTAGTTCTTGTTGGAAATTTGTGACGTCATCAATGGTGTTTTAAACCTATTTTTTCTTGATTATCAACTGACTAGTTGTCAAATGACATAAATGGGTACTTGGTTAAGTTTTTTTCTAACAATTAGAAAAATATATATTTGAGGCCAAATTTGAGCCATAACTCATCTAATTCTTTAAAGCAGCATCTTTTTGTGGTTTTCTGAATTTTTTATTGGCTGATTTGTTGTATTTATAAACATTTGAAATAAAGTGAAGAGTCATTGAATTTTCATTTTGAAATAAAACAAGTAAAATCTCTATATTTTCAGTTTTTGAAATGTGATGTTCATGATAGAATATTTGTTTTTAATTGTTTATAAGTGTCCAAATATATGTTTAAGAGTATTATCTGATAGAACCATTTCACTTTACATCTTTCTCATTCACAAGATAACTATATAAAAAAGTGATGTTCATAAGTAATAAATATTGCTTACTGAGATGTGTACACCACAAATTAGCGATATTTACTTCCTTGGGGAAAAATAATTCAAATTCAATATTGTTATTTCTGAGGTGGCGAAGTTCAAACCCCTTTTTAGGTCACTTGAGACAAAGTCTCAAGTGACCTATTGCGATCGCCTTTTGGTCCGTCGTCGTCCGTCGTGCGTCCGTAAACAATTTACATTTTCGACTTCTTCTCCAAAACCCCTGAACCAATTTCAATGGACAAAGGTCAACAAATATAGTTGCCGGTTTAGTCCTAAGCCCCCAGGGGCCCGAGGGGCGGGGGCCAAAAAGGGTCAAATTGACTAAAATTTCAAAAATCTTCTTCCCCAAAAGCCCTGAACCAATTTCAATGAAATTTTGCAGGGACCTTCCATGGACAAAGCTCAACAAAAATAGTGGCCGGTTTAGTCCCAAGCCCCCAGGTGCCTGAGGGGCGAGGCCAAAAAGGGTCGAATTGACTAAAATTTCAAAAATCTTCTTCTCAAAACCCAGATATGGTAGAATCAAATACTCATCATAGATGGAAGGGTCTTAAGGTGCTTTACCGAAATTGTGAATTTCATGACCCTGGGGTCTCACGTTTCCCCCTTGGGAGGGGGTAAACTTTACTATAGTTTATATAGGGAAATCACATTTTGGACCAACATTTGTTTAATTTCCATTGGAAGTAATTCAATTTGGGTTAGCATTATCAGTATTAG